CTTTTTAAGTTATTATCTCATTCATGGTGAATCGATTAACTTACAGCTATTTGGGACAGTAAATTAGGCACACTAATGGGCCCAATTTAACCATGTCTTCCAAGTATCTTAATAGTAAAAATACCAAGGTTCATTTAATAGCATATGGCAAAAATAAAATCTATTAAAGATCATTCTTTTTTTTTTTTTCAATTATTATTTTTGGGTTTTTCTTTGCCTTAAATCTTGCTGGGAATTTGATAGAATGCCCATGTTGTTGAAGATTGTACTTATTTTGGTACTGATTTTCATCTGCATGTTTCTTTATGCTGCAGGCCGATTCAGTGGTTTTGATGTCACAGTCTAGGCAGAGGACATGTAGGCGTAAATACCCAAATTATGGTAGAAGAACTGTTGGACAGATTGAGTTATCTTCTGGAAATGAATCTTCAAGCTCTGTAAGACATGTGAGTTTTGTAACTTTAAGATACATAAAATAATCTTAAATAATTTCCCTTACTTTGATTCTACCCTGAAATTACATGAAAACATACTATTCTGTGGAGGTTTAAGATAAAATTTTACATTTTGAGTTTTAACAAAAATTATGGACATCTTTGTTGAGATACTCACGATACTAGTGTAACATTGGAGTTTTTGCAGAACTGTGCCATTATCACCACTATTTAATTTCAAAATACTTTCATCACCTCTAAAAAGAAACCCTATACCCACTTAGTTACTTGTCATTCCCATCACCCTTCAGCCCCTGGCAACCGCTAATCAACTTTCTATCTCTGTGAATTTGCTTGTTCTGGACAGTGCATATAAATTGAATAATACATGATTTTGTGACTGGATTTTTCACTTAGTGTAATATTTTCAAGGTTGATTCATGTGTAGCATATATGAATATTTGATTCTTTTTTATTGTCCAACATATGAACACACCACATTTTGTTTTTTCACTCATCAGCTGATGGACATTTGTATTATTTCCGCTTTTTGGCTATTAGTGAACACTGCTCTTTATTAACATTCTTGCATGGGTTTTTGTTTGGACGTAAGTTTTCAGTTCATTTCGATATTTATCTAGGAGTCATATGGTAACCCTTTGTTTAACCTGTTGAGGAATTTCAAGTCTGTTTTCCAAAATGGCTGCAGTATTTTATATTCCCATCAGTATTGTAGGAGGGTATCCCAGTTTCTCCACATCTTTGCCAACACTTGTTATTGTCTGTCCTGATTTTAGCTATCTTAGTGCGAAGTAGAATTTTACTGAGGTTTTGATTTGCATTTCTGTAATGACTGATGATGTTGAACATGTTTTCATATGCTTATTTTCCATTTGTATATCTGTGGAAAAATATCTGTGCAAATCTGTTGCCCTTTTTTTAGTTTGGTTATTTTTTTAATTGCTATAAGAGTTCTTTTGATATTCTGGATACAAGTCCTTTCTCAAGTATATGACTTAGAAGTATTTTCTCTCATTCAATGGGTTGTCTTTTCACTTCTTCGATGGTTTCTTTTGAAGCACAAAAGTTTGACATTTGATGGAGTCCAGTTTATTTTTCCCTTAGTTGCTTTTGCTCTCATATCTAACCCCTTTACTTGACTTTCAATAATCATATGTAAGTCACTGATCTTCATTTTAATTTTTCTTGAGAAACCAATATTTTTGGTAAAGTGTATTTAAAAATTAATAATAGAATGCTAATATTTTCTAATTCAGTAATAATTTTGAGGAATGAAATGTTCCATATGAATAAATAATTTATCTTACTATTTTATAAAGCATTAGGATAATAGTCAACATAGGATTCAGGTTTAAACACAAATTCTTCTACTTTGATAACTTGTTTAACCTTTCTGTTCCCCTGCTATGTTTGTGAAGTAATTGGTAATAGTATGTCTTCAGAGGTGTTGTGAAAATTTAGTTAATCATGTAAAGTGCTTAAAACGGCACCTAATATGCAGTAATGTTACCTGCTGTTGCCGTCAGAACGGTTCGTTTAAATGATTTATTTGATTTTTCCCACCGTCATTTACCCACCATTCCCTTTTCCGCCTCCACCTGACCTCCGCCCCGTGCCATCACCACGCTGTTGCCCATGTCCATGCGTGTTTTCTCTTTTTTTTTTTGGCTCTGTCCCTAACCCCTAAACCTCCCATTACATGATTTTGTTTTATGTAATGAGACTGTTTCATCATTTTATTAACTTCAAAAGATATTTGATGTTTTAGAGCAGTTTTAGGTTTTACAGAAAAATTGTACAGTAAGTACATCAAGTTCTCATAACACTCCCTTGCTCCCTGCACAACGCCTTTCCTGTCAGCAGTGTCTTGAATTAGTGTTGTACATGTGCTGCAGATGATGAACCAAACCAATTTTTATACATTGTCATGAACTGAACTCCATAGTTTACTTCAGGGAGCAGTCTATTGTGCAGTTCTGTGGGTTTTGACAACTGTATAATGTTATGTATCTATCAGAACAGTATTATACAGAGAAGTTTCACTGCCCTAAAACGTCCCTGTGCTGTATACCCAACCGTCCTATCCTCCCTCCTGAGCCATTTGGTAACCACTGATCTTTTTACTGTTCCCATTGTTTTGACTTTTCTAGAATGTCATGTAGTTGGATTATACAATATGTAGCCTTTTTAGGTTAGCTACTTTCTAATAATAGGAATTTCTGTTTCCTTTATGTCTTTTCTTGACTCCATAGCTCATTTCTTTTTCATGCTAATACTCCCATTGTCTAGATTTACCACAGTTTATTTATCCATTCACCTACTGTTGGACATATTGGTTGCTTCCAAGTTTTGGCAGTTACAAATAAAACTACTATAAACATCCATGTGCAGCCCTGACTGGGTAGCACAGTTGCTTGGAGTGTCATCCCAATATGGCAGGATTGTGGGTTCATTCCCCAGTCAGGGCATGTGTAAGAATCAACCAATGAATGCATGGCTGGGTGGGACAACAAATTGGTGTTTCTCTCCCTCACCCCCCGCATTTCTCTTCCCTCTCCCTCCTTCCCTTCCCATCCCTCCCTCCCTCCCTCCCTCCCTCCCTCCCTCCCTTCCGCTCTAAAATTAATTTAAAAAAATCTATGTACAGGTTATTATGTGGACTTAATTTTTCAGTACATTTGGGTAAATACCAAAGAGTGTGATTATTGGATCATGTACTGTAAGTCTATGTTAGGATTTGTATGAAACTGCCAAACTTTCCTCCAAAGTCTCTGTACCATTTTGCGTTCCTTTCAACAGTGAATGAGAGTGGTGAAATGGGTGAAAGGAGTCACGAGGTACCAACTTCCAGTTACAAAATAAGTCACAGAGATAGAATGTACAGGATGGTGGCTGTAGTTAATACTGTATTGCATATTTGAAAGTTGCCAAGAGAGTAAATCTTAAAAGTTCTCATTACAAGAAGAGAAATTCCGTATGGTAATGGATATTAACTAACTTACTGTGGTAATCATTTTGCAGTATATACAGATATCAAATCACTATGCTGTATACCTTAAAATTAATGTAACGTGTGTCAATTATACATCAGTTTTAAAAAAATCCAAACAGTTCTTTCTAACTTCATCTATAGATTCAACCGTCCCAGTCAAAATTCTAGCAAGACAAAGTTCTACTTATGATACTATCTGACAGTGTGGTATTGGTGAAGAATATACAAATAGACAAGTGGACTAGAATAGGGAACTTAGCAATAGACCAATACAAATACAGTCAACTAGTCTTTAACAGAGGAACAAAGATAACTCAGTGGACAAAGTATAATCTTTTCAGCAAATGGTGTTAGGACAACTGGATATCCACATGCAAAAAAAGTGAATTTAGATACAGACTTTGCAAAAAAATTAACTAAAAGTGGGTCATAACCTTACAATTATAAAATTTCTAGAAGATGACAAGATCTAGGTAACTTTGGGTACAGTGCTGACTTTATATAATAGAATATCAAAAACATCTGTGAAAGAAAAACTTGATCATTGAGATTAAAATCTATTGCTCTGGGAAAGACACACTTGGGAGAATGAAAAGACAAGCTGCAGAATGAGATAGAATGTCTGTACAACTCATGTGATAAAGGACTTGTATTCAAATTCTTAGATTCTTAAAACTTACCAGTAGGAAACTCAAATTTAAAAATTGGCAAAAGATCTAACAAACACTCTCTCAAAGATGATATAAGGTGGCAAATAAGCATAGGGAAGATGCTCAATGTCCTATGCATTACGGAATTGAAAGTGAAACGTGGAAACATGGTGAGGTACATGTACATGCCTAAGACTGTGCCTTAAGTCCAAAACACTGAGAACATTTACACAACTTTTTTTATTAACTTCACTCAAATCAAGATTTTTATTTTATTCCTCTCTAACCCCCCTCCTCCCCTCCCCTCCCCCCCCCCAAATTAGGAGACTTCCTGTGATCAAAGTGAAGGTTCTTGTTCTTCGGAAGAAGAAGAATGGAAAAGTGATAGAAGAAGTGAAAGTGATAGTGAAAGTTCAAGGTATCTGTTTTTAATTGTTTCAGTTTTTTAAGTATTTTAGTCATAGCCTTGGTTGGAACTATATTTGGATGGCATTCAAGATGCAGGAGTTTGTAACCATGAAACAGTTTATGTTGAGTTTTTAATACATTTAAAAGGAGAAGAAACTGGATTAATAGCTGTTTCTATAGAAAATACTTTGTGTATTTTTATTTGACTATAAACATTTGAGCCAGGAGTGTAAAATATGTTCATGCAAAATATTGATTTAGTCTTGGGCTGCATTTTTAAAGAGTAGTATCCAGAGTATGTGTGGTAGAAACATTATTACATTCATTACTTGTTATTGTATATGCTTTGTTTACTTTTATTAACCAGATTTCATTTGACCAAGATGTTATCTATTTTTTTATTATAAAATGATCTTTTTTTATTTATTTAATTTGTTGTTCAGTTACAGTTGTCCTGCCTTTTCCACATTGTTCTCACCGTCCCCCCTCCCCCCGCCAAATATGGACTGCTTCATGAATTGGCATGTCATCCTTGCTTAGAGGCCATGCTGATCTCTATCATTCCAGTTTCAGTGTATATGCTGCCGAAGTGAGCTCTTACCATCTATTTTTTATCTTGGTGTAAAAGTCAGCTTTGTTTTGACAGATGCTCAAGCCATAAACCTGGACATAATTTTCTCTTCACAATTCATCCATCACCAAGTCCAGAAAATTTCCACCTAAATATGACTCAAATAATCTCACTTCTGTTTCCACTGATACTGTAGTGATCCAGATCACCGTACTAGACTCCCTGCTTGCTTTCTTGTCTTCTTTTATCCCATTATGAATAAGAGCTGGAGTGATTTTTAGAACACTTGTCTACTCTTAAAAGGTTTTTTAATATTGTGACAAAATTTACCTAATATAAAATCTACGATCTAAACCATTTTTAATTGTATAGTTCAGTAGCGTTAAGTACATTCACAGTGTTGTGCACCCAGCCTCCAGAACTCTTTATCTTGCACAACTGAAACTGTATACCCATTAAACAACAATTCTCTTTTTCACCCCCAACCCCTGGCAACCATTGTTTCCCTTTCTTTTTCTATATTCGTTGTCTTTTAATTCAACTTTTCTTGAATTTTACCATACAAAGTAGATGCTCTTAAATTTTCTCAAACAGCTCTTTTTATAGTAAAAAGCTTTCAGAAATGTGTGTGTTTGTGTGAGTGTGTTTTATCAAGCCTGAGAGGTAAGTGGTTGGCCAGTGATGGTCACAGTAGAGGCCCCTCTATGTGTTTGCTGAAGCTGGTAGTGGGTTGGTGGCCCACCCTGTCCCACTGGTCCCTCCTTTGGATCTCCTGTCATAGCTGGGCAAGACCCACTCTTGGCTAGAAGTTCTGACCACTTACAGCTTTCTGGTAGGACTATGCTTTACTTGGGCTTCTCAGTGTATTCACTAATGGTTTGTCAATCCAATTAAAATTTCTACTCTATTCCTGAGCCTCCTCTAACTTAGCAGGGTGCTACTTATGGTTCTGCGTGACCACTGCTGTTTTCTTAACTACATTTTATTTTTTAAATGGAGAACTGTTAGTTGGCTCTAGATGTTGTCTTCCATGAGATCTCATTTATGTTATAATTTTAAAAAATCTCTCAGGCTTATATTCTTCCCTAATTTCCAGTGTCAGTGGAGGTTTCTTTCTTATGATCTTTGGTCATTTCAGTGTTCGTTGATGGAAAGGGCAGATAGTTCAAGTTGAAGCTTCCTGTGGTCTTTTCCCCCCTCCTCCTTGTCGCTCCTCTTTAGGCTTAGATTCTGGTTGCCTACAACTTAAAATGTTTTCCTTTTCTAGTGACTCTTCATCTCGATATTCTGATTGGACAGCTGATGCAGGCATCAATTTGCAGCCTCCTTTAAGAACTTCATCTCGTCGGCGTATTACTCGATTTTGCAGTAGTTCAGAGGATGAAGTGTCTACTGAGAACTTATCTCCTCCTAAAAGGAGACAGAAGAGAAAGAAAGAAAATAAGCCCAAAAAAGAGGTAAGTAAAGTATAGCTTTAGAAATAATATTTCTGTTATTATAGAAATAAAATAATAGCTCAAGCTTTACTTACCTCGTGCACCCAGCCTCCAGAACTCTTTATCTTGCACAACTGAAACTGTATACTCATTAAACAACAATTCTTTAGCTTGGCTTTAGCTCAAGCGGTTACTTTATCATGGTAGTCACTAGAAATAATATATATGTACAGTTTTATAGAGGTGTTTCTGTCCATATTTAAAGTTAGAAATCTTTTTGAAACTGGTGCCTTTTTTTTTCTTTTGACCTTGTTATATCATCAGGAGTTCAGTGTAAAATGCAAACTTATTTTTGGAAAAGCTACTTTATTATTAAAACTTCTCTTTCTAATGTGCTCTGAATTGGGATTTGAGTCTTTTCTGAATCTGAAACTTACAGGGAAAGTTCTGTTTGCTCAGGATCCTACCCTAACACATTTTTCCTGTTAATTTCAACAGCAGAAATGTACTTCAAGGCATTTTAAGGCTTTTTCTTCTTCTTATGTCTGTTATTACCATGTTTCCCATTTTCATTTGCTGTGTTCTCTCTTCATACTTTTCTCCTAATTTTAATATCCCTATTCCTTTTGTGTTCAGCACATGTACTCCTGTCATGCAGGTAGGTCTCATTATTTAACGATGCCATGTCTTTGTATTAGTTATCTATTTCTTTGTAACGTATCACTCTGAAACCTAGCTGCATAGAATAGCAAACATGTATTTCATGTTTTGATGGAAAAGGAATTTGGGAGCTGATTAGCTAGGGGACCTGGGCTTATGAGGTTGTGTAGTCATGTTGGTTGGGGTTGACGTTGTCTGAAGGCTTGATTGGGGCTAGATGGTCATCTTTGAAGCTCATTCATATGGCAGTTGGCTGGTGGCATGAGCCTCTTCATAGGGCTGCTTGAGTGTCTTCACAACATGGTAGCTGTGTTCCCCAGAGCTAGTGATCCAAAAGTGTAAGGAAGAAGTATGCTCTTAATGCTTTTCATTATCTAGTCTTAATGTCACACATTGTCATTTCTGCTTTATTCTGTTTGTTAAAAGCAAGTTGAGTCCATTTGCAAGCGAAGGAGACTTTGGAGAGGACGAGTATCAAAGAACTTTGGTCATATTCTAAAATCGCCTCTTAAAACCTCAAATTAAGATGAGATGGCCTGTAATGATTAGTCTGTGGTAAAATTCAGAGCAGAGCAGGCTGCGTGTCGAAGGGATTTAGGTTGGCGATTAACCCCCTTGAATAGCAGGTAAAGTGTTATGAAGGATCTGTTAAATTCAGGAGACGCTAAGAAAGTACAAGGTAGATCTGCAATGCAGACTAGTAGTATGTTCCTGTGTATGTTCAGGAACGAAATATGTATGGTGTTTAAAAACTAATCATTAGGTGACTTGCAATAAAAGTGTCATTCTGAATGATGATGTTTCATTTGTTTTTCAATTAAAGAGTGCACAGTTGCTCCTTTTTAGTCTACTAAACTGTGTTCTCTTCCTCTTGCCAGAATTTGCGGAGAATGACTCCGGCAGAGCTTGCAAATATGGAACATTTGTATGAATTTCACCCTCCAGTTTGGATAACTGACACCACACTTCGAAGGTCTCCTTTTGTTCCGCAAATGGGTGACGAGGTAAGAATAATAAAATGTAAAAACTTGAATATGGAACATAAAACAACATTAATGTTACTCTTAAGTTTTTATTTTTATTTGTTATTTTTCAATGTGTTCTTTTGTAGGTAATATATTTCCGACAAGGTCACGAAGCTTATATTGAGGCTGTCAGAAGAAACAACATTTATGAACTGAACCCTAACAAAGAGCCATGGAGAAAAATGGATCTTAGGGTAAGATGATGGTATTATTAAACATTTAGCACATATATAATTAAATTACTTAAAAATCCATTTGAAAAACCTGGAGACATATTTCATTACTATCTTTACATTAATTTCCTCTTTAAAAACATTCCTGCTGTTACCTCTAAGCTTTAAGATCCAGAGGAAGACAAGTTTATCAGTTGGCAGTCTTCATATATTGCTGATGGACATGTAAAATTCTCAGTGTGTTTGAGTTTCTTAGGAAGGCATTTTTGCAATATTAGTAATCTTAAAATGTGCATACCCAAGACAAGTTTTAAAAAGCAGTGCAAGTTTTCAAAAAAAGAAATACAAATTGGAAAAAAGGTTCAACCTCATGCATAATATAGAAAAACATTAGCTTCCCTGTACCAAAACAATTTTCAGTCTGATAACTGAGAAGGCCCCTAAGTTAACTAATGGGTGGGAAGGTTATATGGTTCCATATGCCGGACAAAGGGATGATTCATGTCCCAAGTGTGGCACAGTGGAGAGTAGCATGAAATTTTATCATGCTACTCTGAATGGGGCACAATTGTTTATTTCTGGAATTTTTTATTTAATATTTTTGGACTGTGGTTGACCACAGGTGACAAACAGCAGAAAGTCAAATCATGGATGAGAGGGGATTATTGTATTTTCTAAAGTGAATATATTTCTTACATTACATACAGTATCAAATGTCCTCAAAAAGATGCAAAGGTATACTTTAGCAAAAATGATGGTAATTAATAGTCACTTTTACCTTAACTGCTAGTTTGGAAGCCAAAATTGTGAGTTGACTAAAATTTGCAGTATATAGAGAATTAGAGTCTTGAGGAATTGATTTATATTGACCACTTATTCTTTAAAAAAATCTGTTGAAGGATCAAGAATTGGTCAAAATAGTTGGAATACGATATGAGGTTGGGCCCCCTACACTCTGTTGCCTCAAACTAGCATTTATAGATCCTGCAACTGGAAAACTTATGGACAAATCTTTCTCTATTAGGTATGTGTTATTTTTTATGGAATTATTTAAATGTAGATTTTCTTTCTTGCTGGTTAGCATGCTCTTTTTATTTAGCTGCAGGGTAAATAGCAGAGTACTGCAGACAGCCTGTGATGCGGGTTTAAGTTCTGATGGATGGGGCCCCAGGAGAAGTAAAAAGAAGGATGCTCCAGCCCCCACAGTTAGACACTGGCACTGGCATGTTTTATACATTTTTCTCTGCCACTTAAATGTGTGGAGAATTCTGGTCCATTGGTGAAATTCCTTCTGCTTTTTTTTTTTTTTTTTTTTTTTAAGAAAATGATAGAATTCATAATTTTCTAAACTTGTGCTGTCCAGATGGTAGCCATTAGCCAGTCGCATGTGGCCTTTGAACACTGGAAATGTGGCTGATTAGAAATGAGTGTGATGTAAACATACACACTGCATTTTGAAAACTTGATATGAAGAAAAAGAATAAAATACTATTTTGTATTGATTATGTGGTGAAACAGTATTAGGTTATATTGGGTTAAATATAATATACCATTAAGATTAAGCTCACTGGTTTCTATTTATAAATAGCTATAAAAATTACATATGCAGTTTCCATTGTATTTTGTTTGGACAGTATTACTCTAGACTATAATCTGCTACACAAGGAATTTAATAATCTTTTATTTTTGTTTAGATATCATGATATGCCAGATGTTATTGACTTTCTTGTAT